TTAGAGTTGATGAAGGAGGGGGAGGAGGAGGACAAAGAAGGGAGGCAGATGTTTTAAAGAGCATGCGAGAGTTAGGCGAATTGTTAATTTTGTTGTGATAGTATGTCCTTTTAGCAGTGGAGGCATTAGCAGAGAATGAAGAGAGAAGTGATCGATATACATTAAGGTCAGTAGGATTTTGTGATTTGCGCCATACTCTTTCTGCAGCTCTGAGCTTAGAACGATAATCACGGAGAACATCAGATAGCCATGGGGCAGAAGAGGTGGTACGAGCTGGCCTGGAAGACAAGGGGCAGACAGTGTCTAAACAAGACGTAAGAGTGGAGCAGAAAGTATCAGTAGCACGGTTAACATCAAGAGATGATAACTGTTCAGGAGAAGGAAGCAAAGATGAAACCATAGCAGATAGCCGGGAGGGTGAGAGAGAGCGTAGGTTACGTCGAAAAGTGACATGTGTAGGGGTATGTGTTGTGTCAGGAACCATGTTGAGGTTAAGAGTGAGGAGGAAGTGATCTGAGGTGTGCAGTGGAGTAACGAGCACATGATCAGTGGAGCAGTGTCGTGTGTAAATAAGGTCCAGTTGGTTGCCTGATTTGTGAGTAGCCGTAGTTAATACTCGCTTGAGATCAAAAGAAGCAAGCAGAGTGTGGAAGTCTGCAGCCTGAGGTTTATTAGGTGGATGTTGAAGTCTCCTAGCATAACTAGGGGAGTACCATCCTCAGGAAAGTTTGAGTGTACTATCAGTGTTGAAAACAGTCGTGCTGCTTAATGTTTTTATGGAAACCATGATACATTTTTTCCAAGATGCTTTTTTAAATAGAAAGTTAAATAAATAAGTATTTATTTGAAATATTTTGTAACATTTTAAATTTTGCTGTCACATCTAATTAGTGCATCCTTGCTGAATAAAAGTATTTATTTCTAAAAAAGAAAATCGCACTGACTCGAAACTGTAGTGTAAACTGTAGTGTATAGCAGTAGCCTGAAGATAGCAAATGGTTGTTTTAACTACATTACACCTGTTTTTGGTGCAAGAAACGTTGCCTAACATAAGTGAACTTGATGGAGGAATGAAATATTGGAATAAAAATGTGCTCTTGTCTGTTGTTCTAAAGGTTAAAGCTGTGAAAATGGGACATATCCTGGTAATAGATGAAGCTGATAAAGCTCCCACAAATGTCACCTGTATGCTGAAGACACTGGTGGAGAGTGGAGAGATGATCCTGGCAGATGGAAGAAGAATAGTGTCAGGTGAAATGGAAAGAGAGGATCAAACGCATTCCATGTCACAAACCCATCACTGACAGGAATCCTTCTTCGATATCCACAGATCCACTGGAAGCAGCCGGAAGGCCTAATGCCATTCCCATGCGTCCAGACTTCCGCATGATTGTTTTAGCAAACCGGCCTGGCTTTCCGTTTTTGGGAAATTACTTATTTGGAGCACTTGGTAAGACTTATATATTATGCAGAATGCCATGAATGGCCAATCAGAATCAAGGATCGCAGAAAGCGATGTAATACAATTACAATAATTATGTAATACCGTTTCTTTTTTTGATGATTTAACGATTTACTCTTTCAGAGGACATATTTAGCTGCCATGCAGTGGACAACCCCAAACCTCAGGCTGAGTTTGCCATGCTGAAGCAATATGGGCCTGATGTTCCTGATGCAATCCTCCAGAAACTGGTGGCTGCATTCGGAGAGCTCCGGGCCATGGCTGACCAGGGAAAAATCACCAACCCCTACTCTACACGAGAAGTGGTCAACATTGTAAAACACCTGCAGGTAATCAGCTGGTAGTCTTAACCTCAGATGCCACACATATAGTCCATATATATATAATGCATACTTGCTGAAGAAAATATTACTGACCCTGAACTTTAACGGAAGTGTATTTCAGATGAACGGCAGTTGTAAAACAAAACAAACTTTTGTTGGTCATTTTTCGCTATTCAGTCTCTTCCTGTATAAAGGGGACTGACCATGTCTAGAATAATCTGCAAAGTCAAATCCCCACAATACATTAAACCTCTTGGTTTTAGGATGTTCCCTCTTTTAAGAATTCAGACTTCGTGTCAGTGATGAACTGCGTGTTGTTTGATAGATGAGGGTGAGTGACCCTATGTCTGAGATGAAAGGTGCCGCACGAGAGAAAGAGAGAGAGAGAGAGTGAGGAGAGGCCCTGTCTCTTCACTCGGCCCACTCACAGACTGATCTGACCCATGGAGGCCACACTGCCATTCTGGACCACCTGTCTCTGGGCTTTAACTCTTCTCTCTCTCTCACACACATACACACAACGTACCAGCCTCCTCCTCTCATCTCAGCGCTCAGGAGCGACAGAGATGCAGATAGATGTATGGAATTCGTCTGTCACATTGGTTGAGGAGTCAGTTGTCAGATTAGTCTGCCACAAGCAGCCATCAGAGGTCTACAATCGCTGTCAAAAGTTTGGACTCGCGTGACCGAATTTGTTCCTTGTGATCTTATAAACCTTTTGTTCTAAAGGCCATTATGCTTAAAATTAGTTTTGTACACAAATAGAAATGGTCTACTTATGAATATCTAAACTACATTTTTTATTTAAAAACCTCAATGTCCAGAATGAGCAGAGCTACAATCTAGATGAAGAAGAACCTAAAATATAATTGAGTTTTTGGCATTAAATCATCAATTCTGAGCCCTGGCTGAATGATGTGACTCGGGGGTTGAGGAAAACTTGTAGAAAATTTAAACGAAAATGGAATAAAGACAGGTTACAGATATCTTTTGAAATGTTACAGGAGTCTCTAGCCAACTACCAGAATGCTGTAAAGATGGCTTAAAGAAATTATTTTGCAGAAATAATTACAAAAAAATAGTGGTAAGCTGCAAGTTCTACTTAATATAATAAATTCTGCACTTAATCCAAAATCTGATTTGTTTTCTGACCTTCCAGTTATTACTTGTGAGGACTTTTTGGATTGTTTTGTTCAAAAGATTTCCGATATTAGATCTTCGATCAAACCTGGTTTGTTTGACCCTTCACCCTACCATCTGTTGGTTTTGACCATTTTTAACTTATTTCTCTGCAATCATTAGCTAACGTAATCAGCCAGCTGAAACCAACTGATTGTGCACTTGATATCATTCCAGCTAGGTTAGTGAAACAGGCATTTGATGTTCTTGGCCCCAGTATTTTATCTATAATAAATAATAGCCTTTTAACAGGAGTAGTCCCTAATCAGTTTAAACATGCTGTTGTTCAGCCACTTGTGAAAAATACACATTTGGATCCTGCTGTTGTATCAAATTATCGGCCAATATCAAAGTTACCTTTTATATCGAAGGTTTTAGAGAAGGTGGCTTTTAATCAGTTACATACTTTTTTGCTACAAAATTACATTTTTGAAATGTTTCAGTCAGGCTTTAGGGCTTACCATAGTACTGAGTCGACTTTGATCAGGGTTTTAAACGATTTATTGACTGCAGTTGACTCAGGGTCCTCAGCAGTTCTTGTTTTATTAGATCTTAGCGCTGCATTCGATACTATTGACCATGAGATTTTACTCTCATGGCTTGGGAATGTGGTGGGAATCCATGGTATAGCGCTTACATGGTTTAAGTCCTTTCTTTCAAACAGATCTTTTTCTGTAAATGTTGGTCAAGATTATTCACAACCTGTTTCTTTACTTTGTGGGGTTCCACAGGGGTCCATTCTCGGCCCGATTTTGTTTTCTTTGTATATGTTACCCCTTGGATAATTTTTTTGTAAGCATGGAATCTCGTTTCACTTCTATGCAGATGACATGCAATATCTGTATCTTCCTCTGCAAAAGAATAGTAAAAAGCAAATAGAATCTTTGCTGGACTGTTTACAAGAAATTAAGCTATGGCTGTCTTTACATTTTTAAAATCTGAATGAAGACAAAACTGAAGTTGTGTGGTTTGGAGCTCCAAATAATTTATCTGATTCGGGCAGTTTAGCCCCTTTTTGTAAGCCAGTAGTGCGAAATTTAGGAGTTATTTTTGATAGTGATCTCAAGTTTGAAAAACAGATTTATTCTGTGGTTAGGTCCTGTTTTTATCTCTTGAGATTAATAACGAAGGTGAAACCATTTTTGTCCATGCGTGATTTGGAAAAAGTCATTCATGCCCTTTGTATTCACAAGGTTAGATTACTGCAACTCATTATATGTTGGCATTAATCAATCATTGCTTAACCGCTTACAACTGGTCCAAAATGCTGCAGCGAGGCTTTTGACAGGTTCTCGTAAGAGAGAGATCATATTACTCCTGTTCTGAGTTCTTTACAATGGTTACCGATCCCTTATAGAATTCATTTAAAATTTTTGTTTTTTGTCTATAAATCATTGCATAGTAGGGCTCCATTGTACTTGGTGGAACTGATTGAGAAATATGAGCCAAAACGGTCTCTAAGGTCAGCTGACCAGCTGGCTTTGATGATTCCTAGAACTAAATGGCGAAGTGGAAATTGAGCTTTTGTAGCGATAGCATTTAAATGCATTAGCATTTAATGGGGTATAGACATTTCTCTGTATATTGAAATTGTGGAGTTTATTTCACTGTCAATTTTATTGTGGTTTTAGTGTTGTGTTTTATGTTTGAGACGGTTTTATTATGTGTTTACATATTGTACAGCACTTTGGTCAATGGTCGGTTGTGTGAAAGTGCTCAATAAATAAATAAAAGAAGAAAAGAAGAAGAGGTTTTTAATAATATGATGGAAGGTAATGGTGAGAGAGGGTGAATGGTACATGAGCATCAACTGCACATCTCTAACAGCCAGTCTATTAACTTTGCTGGTTCTGTGTTACGCAGACACCTGTGATCATTAACAGCAAATGTGGAAGGAGTCATCACTATGGAAATATTGTGAATATTGCAATATTGTTAATACGTTTATTTAAAATGTGTCATTAGACTGGTTTCACGGTCCTTCTTTGTCTTGTGTCTTTTGAGTTTATCGGAGAGTTTAGAGCAGTGCTTCTCCATCTGTTTTGCTCGATATGTATCGGGGGTATGCGATATATTGTAATTATTGTTTTAACTATGTGCAAATCTGGTTTATAAACAAATCAGTTTCATCAGTGATTCAATGACGACTTAATCAGACTAAATCAATCAGTTTGAATGAATAACTCAATGACTCAACTCATTAAGACAGTAGCTGTGTTTGAATATGACTACTTTCATACTATATAGTATGCAAAAAACGGTATACCAGTATATAGTATGCAAAAAACTGTATGTCCAAATTCATGGTATTCATTTAACAGTAGGCAAAAATCACCTGGATGAGCTACTACTTTTGCCGAGATTCTGGTTCCAGTTTTTTTGTCAATATTGCACACCCCTAAAGTCCCCCGTTGTCTCCAACAATATTAAGCAACAGGCAACTCCCTAGCCTTTTAGTTTTGTTTTTTGTTTTGAGGTCAATCTTGAGGTCATTCCTAGTTTCTGTAAATTAAAAAAGTAACAAAAATTATTATTATTACAATTAAAATAATATAATTTCACGATTTCAGATGTTTTAGGAGTTTAATGTTCTTCAGGGATCCCACTCTTCTTAACCAGTGAATTTACATGCCTTTTCAAGTCATTGTGATTTACTGAATAAGGATTTAGGAGAAGGATTTAATAACATTTTTTTTTTTTAAATGACTCACACTTACATTTTATTCTTCCCAATACATATTTTAGAGCTTGGCATAACTAGAAAATGTATATTCATTCTAAGAATGCCTGTGCCTTTTTAAGATTGTATAATTTTTTTACATGACTTTTCTAGGAGTGGAAAACACACTTTTAAAATCAGGCTACCTTATATATGGAAACCCTGGTTGAAAACCACTGGTTTAGGCAGAGATGTTTTAATACGAAAACATGTCTCTCATTTAAACTTCATCAACTACAACAGCATTAGAGATTATTTATCACAGTTTGATTCACTGTATTTATTTTTGTGAACCAGAATCAACGCTGAATCTATTAATTTGCACCTAGTAAAAATTTGTTAAACTGGTGGAAATAAAAGAAAACTGAAGTGAAAGTGAACTAGATTTATTATTTCTTACATTTAAATTTGCATTAACGTTGTGAATCAACTAGGGTTTTCCTTGAAGTGATGGTTCCTGATTGAGAAATATAACTGTTTCAAACCAGATCAAATGCATGAATTGAGATGTATTGAATATCGTCAAAATGCTGAAAAATATCTAGATATGTTTAGCTGTATCGCCCAGCTCTACCCCTGTCCTGTCATAAACATGCACAAGATGTGGAAAAGACTTCTTTGAATAGATCGTCTGTCGCCAGGCTGAAAGCATTTTAATGAACACATGTAACTGCCCCTCGCTCACTGGAGATCACAGTCAATGAGCTGCATTGCACAGGTCAGCCTGGGCAAATGAAACCCTATGGATTTTCTGCTCACAGGTGGCTGCACGGTCACTTTTTGTTGAATTTGATTTTGTTGAGTCAGTAACAGGCAGACGATTTAATCTGATCGAATGTGATTTTGACCAGTCTTTCAGGAAAGCTGCCAATTTCACAACTAGCTTGTTTTACCACCTGTTAAATGTGATTTTGGCTTAATGATGAGTCTTTCTGGGAGGATTATTTTCTTTGTTAAAGCTTCTGTTTGTGGGTAGCAGGTCATTTTCTGGGCCGTATATCATCTGTAGTTTTGTAAGACTTAAAAGCCAACAGAGGTAGTGTTGACAGTGATATAATTTTGAATTTGAATTTATTTGAATTTATTTTAAACTGCAGTTCATTAAATTCCTCATTCCAATGTAACATCCTGTGTGTTGTGGCCAATTAAAAGTCTTGCATGTTTTATCTATTTCTCCTGTATGATGTTTAGCTGGTAGTGATTGATAACATAAGATCAGAGTGCTCTTAAAATGCCTCATTACGACTAAAGACTTTTGTCTTGTGGCTCACCTCTTTCCTTTTTTTTCCAGAAATTTCCGGATGAGGGCCTGGCCAACGTTGTGAGGAATATGTTTGACTTTGACTCCTATAACAAGGACACGCAGCGCTGCACAAGCATGGCATTCCCATCGGAGCCAAACCCACCAGCATGCACCTGGCCAAGGAGTAAGAGCTCAGCTCCTATTGCCCCTTTACTATCCGCGAATGCAGCATCATGAACAAATATCCTGCAGTTTCTCTAATAAACACACTGTGCTGGACTAATATAACTACCTGTAGAAAGGATCTGCTCTGCATGGTTCTCAAACCGTACACTTGAACAAATGTATTTGTTTAAAGGTGGAGTGTGCCATTTTTGCAGCAATAGTGACACTAAATACAAAGTTCTGTCACGGAACTCTAGATGGCGCAGGCCGATTTCTAACTCAATCTGATATAATAATATCATCATTCACATGGCACAGCTTATTGGTTTCTTTTTGCATCAGCAACCAATGAGCTTGCTGCTCAAATGCTCAGCTAGTGCTAACATTAGCAGTTGCAGCGCGTTTCAGAAACCCTCCACCTTCCCCAGCTCCACCTGTATAGATCTGCTATGGGGTAATCTCATGTATGTTATATATGGGGGTTATTTTATATATGTTATTACATATATTGCACAGCAGCAGTATTTCCTACATGCTCACAGCAGCATGTCTGTGGATATATTGGCAGTAGCAATTTTCGGTACTTGCTGTGACGCAGCAGCAGTGTAGCAGATGTATTCCACCAAGTTCAAACACATTAACATTGCCATATATATTACCATAACTTTCCTAAAGTCATGACAGAGATAGAATTGCAAAATGACAGGTGGTCCTGCCCTAAACTCACACCATTGGTTGAGCCAGTGTTGTTATGTCTAGGCCAGTTGGACTGCTCAAATGAACATCAGTTTGATTTCTAGGATCATAAAAATTGCAAACTTCACCTTTAACAGATGCTTTGATCTCATAAGCTGCTTATTTCATTGAATGTGCAATAGAATAAACCCTAAACATGCTTGAATTCAGACTCAGAAATAACTGAAAATTAAAACTTGATTGCTAGCGTCTGGTTAGTGTGTTTGAACAATATGAAAGGACAAATTCCTTTTGGACAAATTCCAATCGGAAGTGAGCACCACTATACCCTGTTCTTTCGTAAAGAGCAGAGCACTTATTGTGGGAAATCTGGAGAGAGTGGTTGTTTGGTACAGACTTGGCAAAGGGAGCAGTTTAAAAACAACATAATTTTCTCTGGAACGGCCTTTGTGTGGCATCCATGTTATATCTGTCCAAGTGCCCTTTCCACTGTTTGGAATTTGTACTTTATCTGATTATCAAGAGTGAGTCATCAGCATTATATAACAACAAATATACAGTATGTCTCATTCAATAACGGTTATTTCATTTGCTCAGTGTTGTATATTATATACTTTCAATAAAGGAAATTATTTGTTTCTTCTGTCTCATATTTGTCTTATTTCACTTGCTTTTAAATGTTTTGCCATCTGATATATACAATTTGTTATATTTTATACAAAGTGAAGAAACAAATATTTCCTTTTGAATGATATAATCACCTTTTTAGGAAGTATTTGAAAGTTTAAATGTTAATGCTTACCAAGGCTGCAATTATTTGATCAAAAATGCAGTAAATATTATAAAATATTTTAACAATTTTAAACAACTGTTTTCTGTTTTAGTATACTTTAAAATGCAATTTATTGCTGTGATGCAAAGCTGAATTTTCAGCATCATTACTCCAGTCTTCAGTGTCACATGATCCTTCAGACATCATTCTAATATTCTGATTTGCTGCTCAAGAAACATTTCTTATTATCAATGTAGAAAACAGTTGTGTTGCTTAACATTTTTGTGGAAACCGTGATACATTTTTCTGGATTCTTTGATGAACAGAACATTCAAAAGAACAGAATTTATGTGAGTTAGATATATTTTGTAACATTATAAATGTCTTTACTGTTACTTTTGATTAATTCAATGCATCCTTCAATAAAAGTTTTTTTTTTTTTAAATAAAAAGTCCCATTGACCCCAAACTGTTCAATGGTAGAACATTGATACATTACATTAAAAGGGGTTTAACGCTCTATTGTATTAATATTTTAGGGGAATGATATATCATCCCATCTGCTTGAACTGCAGAGTAGTGCAGTAATGTTTTCTCTGGGAATAGTAAATGAGCAATAACCAGATGTGCAACTATAACCTTCCTGAATATCAATGAACTCCAGCCCCACTACAGAGACAGCAGAATGAAACATTGACCACCTGCAAGTTTTCATTAAATTGATGTGCATGTAAACACAGATTTTGAAAAATCTTGGTGTGACCGTCAACTTTTGCTTAACCCTATAAAAGGACACAGTTTAAGTTTTTTTCATGATCAATATGTTGTCATAATCGGTGTAAGATTTAAATTTCACGTCTTTGGCAAAAAGCCAATCACCAGATTCCCTTTTCCCAGGTTACCATTGCCAGACTGCTACTGGACAAATACTGCTACTGGACCATCAGTCAGGGTGGAAGTACACGACAAAAGCTGCTGTGTCCAACAGAGTCTCATCGGATCGATATCAAGGTATCATAACCCTTTCTATTTCCAATATTTTAAAGTTGATATTAGCCTATTACTAATTTGAAACTAATTTGATATCTTTGGTTCTCCTCAGGGCCCAGTGTTTCTGCGGGTTCAGAGTTATCCTTCTGAGAGGCACGAGTCCAGATCTGTGAGCTTCACTGAGGAACGGGCTCACTGGCAGATTCCCATGAACGAGGTCAACATTGTCTGTGATGTCAACACTGTTAACGGTAGACCATGACTAAACGTTGACGATATTGCAGTTAGTCTCATGTAGCCAGACCTAAGATCTAATGAATCTGGAATTAGAAAGTCTTGTGAATTTTATTTTGAAAGTGAGTCATTGCTTTCCCCTCATAGATTCCATTTATGTGGCCACATGTAACCCTGTACCGCTGTATGCTATGAAGGAGAAAGGAGACTCCGTCCAGTGCATTGAGCTCTATGACATCTTCCCCCGGACCATCAGTGGAGTCTGGCAGCCCTTCGTCTCTGTGGCGACACTGGGCAACCCGCTTCAGGACCAGGTGGTGCTCCATGAAGAACAGGTGTGTGTGTGTCTGTGTGTGTGTGTGTGTGTGTGTGTGTGTGTGTGTGTGTGTTGTG